CCATGGTCAAACGGGGTTCTAGTTTTTCCAGGCAATGTAAAAAAAGGAACAGTGGTGTAATAATGGTATCGTCATTTAGCAACACTAGATGATGCCCCAAGCATTGCTACAGGAATCTTGTTGGATTATGCATAAATAGTTGCTTAAAAAACATATAAAACTAATGGAAAGCAAATGTAAGCTTAAAAAGGTGAAAAACATGAAGCATATAAAAAGAGAATAAAAAATGAATTCCAGTTAACAGAATATCATTTCTAACAAAAAATGTGAAGGATGAAATACGTCGGTATGCTGCAATCGCCCAAAGCATATACTGTCAATATAAAATCCATTGAAAAATAACTTATAACTAACATGCACAAACTGATGATGTGGCAGCCCTGCATGCATAGAGTAATGCGAAAAACATGTAATTTATGACTTGCATGGCAGGACTTGCTCATGTGGCATGCTTGCATGTGTAGGAAAAATAGGTAGTGGGTTGTAGCTATTTAGGAATAGTACATTGATGTCCCTTCTTTCACACTTACATCTGCTGGGCACTGATAATTTTGCCTCACTAATACTTGTTCTACAGCTTTCACAAGGGGCCGATAATTGGGTTAGTGAGTTCTCTAGTGAACAGAATCAGAGTGGGCTCAAAGAGAAGTGGGTCGATGAGTTCTCCAAATTGAATATGGATGATTGGACAGAGGAGTTCAGTGGAGGAGCTTTTGGTGAGAGCTCTGCTGATCCATGGGCAGATGAGTAAGTACAAGTCTCTTGTTTCTGTGTCTTTGCTAATAGTATTAAGGTTGAGCTAACCTCTGTTGCTTCTTTCTTGATATGTTACCTGACCAATTTCTGTGTCAGATTACTAAAAGAACCTAGAGCTTGGTTAATATTCATTGAGAAGTCATTTGTTTTTACCATTGGTTGGTTATGCTCTGTTTTACAGAAGCCCCTTACGCATAGCAATTGCAGCTTACCATTAAATATCATTGTACATTGTTTGTAGGTTTCAGAACCAACTGTCAGCTTCCAAAAGTTCTGGCGCTTCTCGAGGGGTTTATGTTTTTTCCGAGATGAACCCATATGTTGGTCATCCTAATCCAATGCAGGAAGGGCAGGAGCTCTTTCGGAAGGGCCTCTTAAGTGAAGCTGCTCTTGCTCTGGAGGCTGAAGTTTTAAAGAACCCTGATAATGCTGAAGGTTGGAGGTTGCTTGGAGTAACACATGCTGAAAATGATGATGACCAGCAGGTATTTGTGCCCCTCGTTAATTTTAGATGCTGTGATGTTCTGATGTTCATATGGCGAGTTAGGGATGAAAAATGGAGCGGAAACAGCCGGAATTGAGTGATGTCACATTTGTTTTCATATTTTTTTAGTGGGAGCAGAAACAAATACAGATACCCTGGGCAGAGGTATGGAGCGAATACGGCACATTCGCTGGAGCAAAAAGAACCCTTGAACTATCCAGGCGTGGCGCGTACGTAGGCATCAGAGAGGTTTACCGGCGTAGAAGGGTGGAATGTGGCGGTAAAAAAATTGAAATATCCGATATCCATATTCGAGAAAACCCCCTATATTGCAAGTCAACATTGGCATCCGAACTAAAATGAAAATGGATGTGGAAAATATCTGGATTCTTTTTACAAATACAAATATTGTATGGGATTTTGAAACAAATGTGGATATGAAACTGGATATATCCGTATCCGGAAAAAAAACATGTTAGCCAATTTAAGCAATTCTAGCCCTATATGCTAAGTACTCCCTCCGTTTCTTTTTAGTCTGCATATATGATTTGTCTAAATTCAAACTTTGTAAAGTTTGACCAACTATATAAGAAAAAATATCAATATTCACAATATGGAATCAATATCATTAGATGCATCATGAAATTAATTTTCATACTATAGAACTTTTGTATGTAAATGTTGATATTTTTAAGATAAATTTGGTCAAACTTTACGTAGTTCGACTTCAAACAAATTTTATACGCAGAGTAAAAAAAAACGGTGGGAGTATCCAACATAAGAGCATCTCCAATACGTGCCCTAAAATAGTGCAGGATCACTTTTTACATCACGAGGGGCCAAAAACGCTGATCCAATAGGTGCCATATATATGCAAAAAGTTTTACTCCAAATATACAAGACCTACACCAAGTGTTGCAAATTTTGCAACACCAGGGGGGCCACTCGGGACCACACAATTTTGGTGTTGTAAAAAAGCACTGGGAAGGAGGTTTTTGGTGTTGTAAAAAGCACTTTTAGGTGTTGCAAATTTTGCTCCAACCATAATTTGGTGCCTTATTATAGGGCACCTATTGGAGATACTCTAAAAGCCTAAAAAGTCGTCGAATCTTACTTATTTTTTGTATGATCGAACTTAGAAACTATTATGCATTATAGTAGTATGTATTAGGTTTCACGCACCAACCAGTTGCTCCAAAAATCCAAACTGATGGAGAAGGTTGGGCATTCCGCATATACCAACACCCCCACTCGTGTGCAGTCTTTATCAGTCTTGCTGCGTGCCTCAAACGTGGAAGGGAGCGAGCAGCAATTGTAGAAAACAATCACACTAGCCAGGACTCGAACTCGAGACCTCTGTCTCTGATAGCATACCATGCTTCATGCACCAACCAGTTTCTCCAAAAGTCGAACTGATGGAGAAGGTTGGGCATTCCCCATATACTTCAACAGTGTTTCTCTGTCTACTGGTCTGTCATTGATTTATTGTATGCTGCGAGTCGATTATCTTAGGTCATATAATTGTTGACTTATTTCTTTTACCTAACATATGTCACTAAATTATAAGATATTTGTATCGGTTCTGAATTGCAAAAACACCTGATCCATATCTATATTCGAGTAACATCCTCTCCGTACTCATATTCAGCATTCATATTTGTTTTTGAAATATGAAAACGGAAGTGGGAAGGGTACTATCCGATCCGTTTCCACCCCTATTGGCATAAGGCATCGACGTCAACCGAGGAGGGCAGTGGCCCCGCGACAGATGATGGTGGTGGAGGCGCTCTGGTTGCATGGCAACGCAGCAAAGATGGATGGGTGGCAGCGTGTGGGCTCGGGATGATTGGATGGCGCCACGGCGGCGTGCTCGCCTGCTCTGTCCTTTGTCAATTAGGGACAGGGGATTAGGTTAAGGTTGTATTTGCATTCCGGTTGGCCCACACATTGCATGTGTGCTGTTCACTGTTGTCCGCCACACACAGCCATGGTAATAACGGAAGTTTCCGTATTTATGGAAACAGATATTTCGTTTTCGTGGCTGTTCTGCCAAAAAATGTTGTACCGTTTTTGTTTCCCTTTCTGTCTAAGAAATTCTGTTGTGCAAGATTTCCATTTTCACATTTTTTTCCGTTTCTGTTTTTCTGTGGACCAGACACAAAGATTCCGCTCCGTTTTCATCCCTATACCAAGTATTGGATGTATTGGATGCATCATGTTTGTTCATGACCGAGTTTAGATCATCTTCAAGGAATATTGTTTTATCTAGTCTGAAAGGCCAAAGCAATATGCTAATTCTCGTGACTAATGATGTGAACCATTCTCTAATGTAGTTTACCTCACAAGAATTAGATATTCATATATACAAAACAAATAAAAAATGTTAGTTCTAAGAATCTTGGGATCTATGGGATGGGCTCCATGCTTCTTCTTTGCTAAAAGAGTCTGCTATTATTAATTATTTCCTTGCTTTCAGGCCATAGCTGCAATGCTGCGTGCCCAGGAGGCCAATCCTACCAACTTGGAAGTTCTTCTTGCTCTTGGTGTCAGTCACACAAACGGTGAGTGTTATTTATGTGAGCATTTCAGTGACCTGCTTAATCTGCTGGAGTTGCTCTTATAAGAAATGAAGTGGTAGAAGGTAGGATTGGAAGTTAACAGGTATCTGCATTGTGCAAGCTAGTTTCAATTGTAAAAACTAAGCCATCCTCCAGGTTTTTCAATTTTCATTTACAGTTGGAAAAACTTCCCAATGCTCCAAGCCTCTCCTCCTCCCCAGTGTGTAATAAACTAATAATGCTGCAATAGTTGTGCTCATAACATGTTCTAATATATTTTGAAATTCTGTTGAAGTAGGAAATTTGTCGAAATAGGCCGACTTTCGGTTTTTATACTTCAATATTTGTGTATACCATCATGAGAGGATCTATTTATTTTATATGATTACTGCAGAGTTGGAACAGGGAGAAGCATTAAGATATCTTTCGAGATGGCTTCAGAATCATCCAAAGTATGGAGCTCTCGCCGCTCCCCACCAAACTGATTCACCATATGGTCCAGATGTAAGTGAGGGATATGTAATTCATAATGATGGTGTACCAAACGAACAATTTTAACTTGTTAAACCTTTCCATCTGCAGCTTCCAAATGGTATTCTGTATAACTGTCTCAGTTTATTGTACCTTTCTGTGAGATATTATTGTTAGAACAGGGTTGTGCTGTGTGTGTAGTTATCATATTGTATAGGGGCTTCTTTGCTTATTTCCCTTCATGTATATGTGCTGGCCTGTTGGCCCGATGGAATATAGGCTCACTTCATAACATGGTATAAGAGCTAGGGTTAGGTTCCCCAGCCGCCGCCGCCGCCTCTGGTCGCCGCCGCCGCCGCGGCCGCCGCCGGCCGCCGCTCCTCTCTTCATCGAGCCTCTCCCCTCTTCTTCCTGGTAGCTGCTACCGCCTGCTGGTCCAGGCCGCCGCCGTTCCAGGCCGCTGCTGCCGCCGTCCTTCCCGGCCGGCGTCGCCGCCTCAACGTGCTGCTGCTGCTCTTCAACGAGCTGCTGCTGCTGCTGCTCCTCTTCTCTGCTGCTGCTGCTGCTCTTCTTCAACGAGCTGCTGCTGCTGCTCTTCTTCAACGAGCTGCTGCTGCTGCTCTTCAAAGTGCGGCTGCTGCTGCTCTTCTCCTCCTGGTCTGCTGCTGCCATCAAGCTGTGCCTCCTGCTGCTGCTGGTCTTCAACGAGCTGCTGTTGCTGCTCTGCTGCAATGGCGCCCTCCACCACCACCGGTGCTGTCCCAGTCCCACGATGTCCTGTTATCTTCAACGGACAGAACTACAGGGACTGGGTGCAGCACATGAAGCTGCACATGAGGGGCCAGCTGGTCTGGGAGCACCTCTCTGGTGCTCTGCCTTGTCCCCTGCTGCCCACTCCTCCAGCCGAGTTGGCCTTCCCTGTTGATGCCGATGAAACCAAGCAACGTGAGATGCTAGATGCTTTTGAAGAGGCCACTGAAGAGTATCAGAATCAACTCCACTTATACAAGCAATGGACAAATGATGATGCTCGAGCCTCTTCTATCTTGGTGAACAGCATGGATGTTGATCTCACCATGGATGTGGTGGCCCTTACCACTGCATATCAGATGTGGGAGCACCTTCGCCATCGCTATGAGTCTACAGGGGATGCCATGTATCTCTCTGTTGTTCGTCAAGAGCAACAACTACAACAGGGAGATGCTACTGTGGATGATTTCTACAAGGAGATGTCGGCGGTGTGGCGCCAATTGGACTCTCTGGGAGCTGATGTTTGTCGCAGATGTCAGTGTTGTGTGCGGCAACAAGCTAAGCTGGAGGTTCGTCGCCTCTACGACTTCCTCACTCGCCTCCGGCCGGAGTTCGAGCAGAGTCGTGCTCAGCTATTGGCACGCCATCCTCGGCTCTCTACTCTGGAGGCCCTTGCTGAGGTGCGATCTGAGGAGGTGCGCCTACGGAGCACGGGCTTATTGCCATCCTCTTCAGCAGTCCTGGCTGCCCGCGTTCCACCACCGCTGCCTGGTGTGCCCTCTTCTACACAGGTGGCAGCAACCTCCACTAGTGCTTTCTGCAACTACTGCAAGCAGGATGGTCACATGATCACGGAGTGCATCAAGAGGAGGAAACAGGGTCGCCGTGGTGGCCGTCCTCAAAAGGACTCGGGAGGCTCCTCTAATTTTCGTGAGGGCTCCCTTGAGAAGGTTCACCAGGAGATGCTCACCTTGCTGCGCCGCCTTACTGCTTCTGCACCATCCTCAGGTTCTGCTGGTTTTGCTGGTCAGACGTCTGGTCCACCACCGCACTCTTCGTCAGGTACATCTTTGCCCTGGATTCTTGATTCTGGGGCCTCCTTCCACATGACACCACACAGAGATCATCTTTGTGCTGTCAATTCCGTGCCTTCTCCTCTTACAGTTCAGACTGCAGATGGCACTTCTCTTTCTGTTGCCGCAAGAGGGACTCTTTCCACGTCTTCTTTTCATGTCCCTGCCGTTTCTCATGTTCCTAAACTGACTATGCAACTTCTATCTGCTGGTCAACTTACTGACTTGGGTTGTCGTGTTATTCTGGATTCTGACTCTTGTTGTGTTCAGGATCGTCGTACGGGGACTCTGGTTGGGATCGGTCCTCGGCGCCATGACTCTCAGCGCCTTTGGGAGCTCGATTGGCTGCGCCTTCCTTCCGCTGCGTCCTCTAGCCAGTCGGACATCACCACCCCTTTTGCTTCAGCTGCCACCTCCACCACATCCTTCGCTCAGTGGCATCATCGATTGGGTCACATTTGTGGCTCCCGCTTGTCTTCTTTGGTTAGGAGTGGTGTTCTAGGGTCTGTATCTGGTGATAGTTCACTAACTTGTATGGGTTGTAAGCTTGGCAAGCAGATACAACTTCCATATCCCTCTAGTAATTCTGTTTCTCAACGACCTTTTGAACTTGTTCACTCTGATGTATGGGGTCCTGCCCCCTTTGTTTCGAAAGGGGGTCACAAATATTATATAATTTTCATTGATGATTTTTCTCGCCACACTTGGATCTACTTTATGTCATCTCGTAGTCAAGTGCTTCAAATTTACAAGTCGTTTGCTACCATGGTTCGCACTCAGTATGATTCCTCTGTTCGAGTTTTTCGTGCTGATTCGGCTGGCGAGTACTTATCTCGTGCGCTTCGTGGTTTCCTTGCTGAACATGGTACCCTTCCTCAGTATTCCTGTCCTGGTGCACACGCTCAAAATGGGGTGGCTGAACGCAAACATCGTCACGTCCTTGAGACTGCTCGGGCTCTTCTTTTATCTTCTGCTGTTCCCCCGCACTTTTGGGCTGAGGCTGTCTCTACCGCTGTTTATCTCATTAATATTCAGCCTTCTGTTGCTCTTCAGGGAGGGATACCAGTTGATCATCTAGGTGATGGTCCAGCTGATTATAGTGGTCTACGCCTGTTTGGTTGTGCCTGTTTTGTTCTTCTCCACCCTCATGAACGCACCAAATTGACTGCTCAATCTGTTGAATGTGTTTTCCTTGGCTACAGTTTGGAGCACAAAGGTTACCGTTGCTGGGACCCTATTGCTCGAAGACTGAGAATCTCCAAAGATGTCACTTTTGATGAGTCTCGCTCCTTCTACCCTCGTCATTCTTCTACTGCCACAACCGAGTCGTTAGTCGAGCCTCTCTCTTTTTTGACTCTACCTGATTCTTCACCTTTATCGTCACCTGGTAGGTCCACTCCTAGCCTTTCACCTGTGTCTGCTCATGAGCTTCAGCTTACACAGGATGAGGTTTCTATTCCTGACTCTCCTACTCGGGTTGAGCCATCCACTCTCTCTCCTTTTCCTTTTACCTACTCCCGTCGTGCTCAACACCCTTCTCCCTCTGATGCGCCACCTTCCACTTCCCCTCTCTCTCCGCTTCCTTTTGTCTACTCCCGTCGTGCTCGGCACCCTTCTCCCTCGGATGCGCCCACTTCCACTTCCACTCCTTCCCTGTTGGGTCCCATTCCTTCAGAACCACCTACCCCTCCTGCTCCTCGGTATAATCTGCGTGATCGCCACACTCTCCAGCCTCCTGCGTACTATGTTGCTGCTGCTACCACTCTTGTTGAGCCGTCTACATATCGTGAGGCTGCTGCTCATTCTGAATGGCAGCATGCTATGGCAGAGGAAATTCATGCTCTTGAGCGCACAGGCACTTGGGACCTTGTACCCCTGCCTACAGGCGTTAGACCCATCACTTGCAAATGGGTCTACAAGGTTAAGACACATTCAGATGGTTCTCTCGTGCGCTACAAAGCTCGTCTTGTTGCGCGTGGCTTCCAGCAGGAGTATGGTCGTGACTATGATGAGACTTTTGCTCCTGTTGCTCACATGACCACTGTTCGCACTCTTTTGGCTGTTGCTGCTGTTCGACAGTGGTCCATCTCTCAATTAGATGTCAAGAATGCCTTCTTGAATGGTGAGCTGCGGGAAGTGGTCTATATGCAGCCGCCTCCTGGCTATACTATCTCTGATGGCACTGTCTGCCGCCTTCGGCGTGCTCTTTACGGGCTGAAACAAGCTCCTCGTACCTGGTTTGAGCGTTTCTCCGCCGTCATCACAAGGATCGGGTTCTCTGCTAGTGTTCATGATCCTGCTCTGTTTATTCACACTTCTCCTCGCGGTCGCACCCTTTTACTACTCTATGTTGATGACATGATTATCACAGGGGCTGACCACCAATTCATTGATTTTGTGAAGAAACGTCTACATGAGCAATTCTTGATGACTGATTTGGGTTCTCTTCGCTACTTTCTTGGACTTGAGATCATTTCTTCCCCTGAGGGTATTTATCTCTCTCAAGAGAAGTACATCCAAGATCTTCTCACTCGTGCCTGCCTCACTGATCAGCGCACGGTTGACACTCCTATGGAGTTTGGTCTCCATCTTCGTCCTGGTGAGGGTGAACCCCTTGCAGATCCCACACGCTACCGCCATCTTGTTGGGAGCCTTGTCTATCTAGGCATCACTCGTCCTGACATTTCTTATGCTGTGCACATTCTAAGTCAGTTTGTCTCTGCTCCCACTCAACTTCACTACAGTCACCTTCTTCGTGTTCTTCGTTACCTTCGTGGTACCGTGACTCGTCGCTTATTCTTCCCTCGCTCCAGCTCTCTTCAGCTTCAGGCCTACTGTGATGCTACCTGGGCCAGCGATCCCACTGATCGCCGCTCTCTCTCTGCCTATTGTGTTTTTCTTGGCTCCTCCCTGATTGCCTGGAAGACCAAGAAGCAGAATGCTGTATCTCGCTCCAGTGCTGAGGCTGAGCTGCGAGCTATGGCGTCCGTGACTGCAGAAATTACTTGGCTACGATGGCTTCTTCAGGATTTTGGTGTTTCCACTGCTACACCGACCCCTCTGCTCTCCGACAGCACTGGGGCACTCAGCATTGCCCGTGATCCTGTTAAGCATGAGCTCACCAAGCACATCGGTGTTGATGCCTCCTACACTCGTTCTCAGGTGCAAGACAGAATTGTGGCCCGTCAGTATGTGCCCTCGGAGCTTCAGCTTGCTGATTTTCTGACGAAAGCTCAGACACGGTCCCAACACAGCTTTTTCCTGTCCAAACTCGGTGTCCAAGATCCCCCTTGAGTTTGAGGGGGGGTGTTAGAACAGGGTTGTGCTGTGTGTGTAGTTATCATATTGTATAGGGGCTTCTTTGCTTATTTCCCTTCATGTATATGTGCTGGCCTGTTGGCCCGATGGAATATAGGCTCACTTCATAACAATTATTAACTGTAATCATGTGTCTGTACAATCTGTTTTCTGATCTTACTAAAAGTTATTAGTTTAGGATACTAAACGACCTACCTCTCACCAGGTTGTTAGATTGTTTAATGAAGCTGCTCAGATGTCGCCTGAGGATGCTGATGTCCACATAGTTCTGGGTGTCTTGTACAACTTATCAAGAGAATATGATAAAGCTATAGCTTCATTTAAGACGGCACTACAGCTGAAACCACAAGACTATTCTCTCTGGAACAAGCTCGGTGCGACCCAAGCAAACAGCATCCAGAGTGCTGATGCCGTACTGGCATACCAGCAGGTAATTATTTTTTGGAACGTGCTTGAACTTTAACTTTGGTGAAAGCTTCGTTCTGTTTTTAAGTGTATTTATATGCTTGGTTCAAGAAGTATAGCACTTTGTCTTTATCACAGACTCTGGCTATTCCTTTTTAAGGAATGCTCTGGCAGTTGTATTTCCAGTGCAAACTGCAAAAGCTAGCAGTATGATTATTGTCTGACAAAAATAGTTTAAAAATAAAGCGTTTCTATACATGTTGGAGCTAAAAAAACTGAAATGATCAACTAATGGACTGATTGGCGTATGGAAAGTAATGTCGCATATCACAAACATTGGGATTGGGGCAGCTAAATCCCTCTCTGTGGAATGTGGATAAGTTTCTGTGTGATTGACACCAAGATTGTGTTTGCTGCTGCGTGTAGGCTTCTTGCATCACAGTATATCAGATGAGATATAATCAAATTATTTGTGATGCAGTGCAATCCCATTGATTTGGTGTCCAATCCTACAAATACATGTTTATTTGCATCCTTCACTTATTTTTTTAGTATAAACTATAAAGTGGATGACTGATGAAAACCATCTTAGTGTGCATTTCAGAAAATACGGGTATACTAAAGAGTACCCCAGGTCTTTGGCTTATTACTTTGGATGTTGATTGTGGTATGCTAAAAAGTGCTTGGAAGTAACCCCAAATGTTGCTTGTTATTTCAGGCTCTAGATTTGAAGCCCAACTACGTCCGTGCATGGGCTAATATGGGAATTAGCTATGCCAACCAGGTAATTCTTGTATGGCACAATGATCGCTCAATCATGTTGTTGACTGTATAATTGCATTTTTCGCAAATACCCTGTGATGCGAGATAAGAAACCTTATATTGAGTTAACATTACTCCACTGGCCCACTAACATGCTTGTCATCATTACATAAGTGAGTTTATGTTCTTTCACTTTTATTATTGAAATGGTTGTCTTGTTATCATGCTCTCTCAATACTATAAAAATTTTGGGCACTTTTTGTACAATGAATGTCACCTAGTGAATAATGTGATTAAGCGCAGACGGTTATAATGTGAACTACTCATTTACCGGCCTTGTCGTGTGGGGATGGCGGATCCGGTCGTCAACGGACCCTAATGCAGAGCCACGACCGGGAACCATGGTGGTTCGTGGCCTCGGGCGGTGCACCTCCTCGTGGCCTCGGGCGGTGCACCTCCGTTCCTTGTTGGCATGGTGCTTGACAGGATGTGGTGGTTGTGCTAGGATGTGGTGGTTGTGCTGTGTCCGGTGGCTCTGTTCTCGGTCGTCAATGGATCCGGCAGCTGGCGCTGGTGATTGGCCATTGGTGGTCTTTGCGACGCGCGGAGCGGCGATGGCGACGACCTTTTCATCGGCGGGTTGGTTCGTTGGTGGTGGTGGTGGTGGTGCTTGGTGGACTTGCCGACACGGATGCGGGTTGGGTGTTGGGAGCTTGGGTGAAGACCCTGTCTCGGCCTTGGGCATGTAACTGGCGATGGCGGCGGCTGTGGGCGTTGTAGACCTTCTTGAAGGCATCGCTGCTGTGCTGCCACACCCCTACCGCATGGATCCGGCTGGAAAACCCTAGATCCTGTGTGATCGGACGTTGTCGACGCCTTAGCGTTGTTTTCCCTCTCGAGGGCTTCGTCTTTGGAGCCGAGCATCGGCAAGTGGGACCAGTGGAAGGCGTCGGTGTCGGCGTCGAGGCTTCTATGGCAACGATAGCGGAGGCGTACGAAGTCGGATGCAAGGCAATGGTTGAGGTAGTCGGTTCTTCTCCGCCGTGTTCGTGGGATTACCTCGGGTTGCCTTGTTGCGGTGAAGTCGGAGCTGTGGTGGCGGGGCCGTGTGGCGACAATGACAGGCCGTGGTCTTTCGGGGCACCAACTTTGCATTGTTCTCCTTCGGAGCTCTCCATCAGAGTCGGAGCTGTGCTGCCGTTGATGCAGGTGGCTGAGTTTGGCATAGGTCTTTTTGTGTTCCACATGGCCTCTATGGTGAGGGTTCGGTTGATGTTCATCTTCAGCGAAGTCGGAGTCGCTTGCTCGGAGATTAGGGAGGGCAATGACGCCGAGAAGTGATGACGATGATGCCAGAGTGTATCTTGACGAGGCCCTCTTTGTTGAGGCGTGTGTGGGGTAGCATGTGTGCCGCTCGGCGGTTTGTGACGATTTTAGCCCGGTTTTCCATTAATTAACTGGATAACTCTCTTCTGCTTATTTAATAGATGAGGCAAATCTTTTGCCTTCGTTTCGAAAAAAAAAACTTACTAACGATGAACACTGAAATCTATCTTTATCCAATGGCGTGACAACTCAGCACAGGAATTCATTATGATAATAGATAACAGTTTTTCACATATAACCCCTGTTGCATGGTTGATTTCTAAGCTGCTCTCTGTGCAGGGTCTGTACGAGGATTCCATTCGGTACTATGTAAGGGCGGTTTCCATGAATCCAAAAGCAGACAATGCCTGGCAGTACTTGAGAATTTCACTTGGGTATGTCGGATACACTTCCTTTTATCTACATGTGAACATGGACAGTTTTTTATATGATGATTTTACCTTACTAACACCTTTTCCCCTTTCCAACCAGTAACGCTTCACGCAGTGATATGATTGCTGCATGTGATTCCCGCAACCTTGATGTCCTTCAGAAAGAGTTTCCCCTCTGAGTCCAAACATTCTAGACATTAGGAGGTCTCCACGATGAAAGGGTAGAAGGAAACTAGCAAAATGGGATGGTTTCCGTGGCTGCATATTCTGGAATGCGAAGGAGAAACAAACACAAATTGGCGGTCATTGTGTTACTGTATTTTTCTGTTTGCTGTAAGCTAATTGATCTTCTGTTTGCCGAGATGTTGAATGTATAGAAAGCCAGATTACCAGCCAATTTGTAGATGTAAAATCCCATGGCAGAAACAATGATTGCAACCGGGGGATAGAACATGTAATTCTGTATAAAGGAGGTACAAATGAATAAAAAGGCGGTTGTTGAATGGAACATGTTCTTCAGTTCTTGTGATGCACAATAAGATTTTTTTTTGAAACGAAGGCAAAAGATTTGCATCATATATTAAATAAGGAGAGAAGAGTTTGTTACAACACACACCCAGAATACGGCATGACAATTATTCTCGCAATAAAAAAGACCCTAACTTTGCCCCGTGGTGATCCAAAGGTTTGCCTTGTCGATGATGGTGGTGATCCAAAGGTTTGCCTCGTCGATAATGATGTTGAGTAGAGTTGGCAGAGGCGTGCTCTTATGCCGGAACACTCTTGCGTTTCTCTTATTCCAAATGACCCATGACACAAGCATGGTAATCGAGGCCTTCGCTTTTTGGTTGGTGGTGCCCACGGCGCTCGTGCTCGTCAACCATGTCTTGACTGAGTCGAAGGAGCTCCACGTCGACGTGTCCATGTCTTGTATGAGAAATTTCTGAATAACCAAATTCCAAAGCTTCAACGTGAAGCAGCATCTGAAGAATAGATGTGTTTCACATTCTTGCACTCCCCTGCACAAGGGGCAAGGCCACAATTTAGCCAACCCCGCTTAGCCAGTCTGTCGGCGGTCCAAATTCTATCTTGCAGTGTGAGCCAAGCAAAGAACTTGACCTTCGGTGGGGCCCAAGGCTTCCAAACCATTTGGTTTATGGGGAGAGGATCAAACCCAAAAATTGTGCCATGTAAGCAGAGGCCGCAGAGTAATGTCTAAAGTTCGAGTGTTTCCATACTATGTCGTCCTTAGCAAGCTCATCAAGATGCACCTCATGCAGAAGCATCCAAAGGGTGAAGAATTGTGTTACATGTTCGGTGAAAACAACCGAAGGTGGCCTGATTTTGAGGATCCACACGTTTTCTTTGAGGGCCCCCCGTACCTTCCAATGTTTCCGCGATGAAGACTCGTAGATGAGAGGAGCAATGTCCTTGGGCTTGCGTCAAGAAGCCAAGGGGATTCCCAGAAGGGTGTCTTCGTCCCATTCCCGACCTTGATTGTGGTGCTAGCATAGAAGAAGTTGAGATCTTTCTCATCACACGAGTTATCTCTCCCAACCCACAATTTTGTTGGCTCCTTTCATTCATACCAAGGCCACCGCAGTCTTAAAGCCCGCGCAAACTTATTGGTGTTGAGGACTCCAAGCTTACCATACGCAAGCGACCGACTGACAATGTCCCAATTGACCTTGCATTTTGCCCCGGTTGTCTTATCTGACCCAGACCACAGGAAGGCCCTTTCAAACTTGTCGATGTTTTAAAGGATGATGTGCTGTATGACAATAAGATAATGGTGATTGCAGTTTTCGTGTACTTCAGTGCTGTGCTGAGCAAACCAGTGTCCAATGCAACGGATGTCCGTACCGTCTGTATATGATTTTTTTAGAGCACTGCTATGGAGACGACACTCTGCAGATGATTTTTGGACGACAAGCCTACCAAGCCGTCCATGCATGGCACCAAACGGCTATCCGCCGCAGGATGAGGCATACCCATGCATATCAATAGTTTAGTGCTAATTATGTACTCCTGAGCATAAGCGTACGTGCACCC